CAATATAGAAAATTATCTTTTCTTATAATAACATTACTAGTTTACAATTTTATTTTTTGCAATATTTTTTTTGTTAGTGTTTAATTTTATATTTTTAATATTTTATTCGTAAATATTTTTTTTTATGAATTAAAGTTATTGAACTATTTTTGTTTTTAATAGTACTAACTAAAAGTCGTTTGTAATCCTAGATTTTTTTTTACTATTATTAATTATTGACAAAAGTTTAACCAAAAACTTAAAATATATAAATATTTAAAGTTAGGGTCTTCACTGAAAAATCGGAGGCTTTAGGTAATCGCCTATTTCGTCTAGAATTATGCTATACGTATAGCGTTTCGTCGCAGATTTTTTCACAGACAACACGTGTAGAAAAAACATTGACAGACGAAAAAAATGAAAAAAAATAAAAAAATAAAATTGACGGACAGGATTGTGCCATGGAAGGTTCTGTAAGAAAATTGTGAAAAATTTCTTGTACTTGAAGAAAAATTCCTTCGTCTAATATTCAAGACAATTTTGATTGAGTTAGGTCAAATTATAAAAGGCTTTGACGAGATGTTTATGATAAGGAAATGAGAGCAAGTAAAATTAGGGACACTCCTTAGCCTCGTTATTCAATTAGCTTTAAGAGACAAGCATGAGTTTGACGGATTTTGTAGTCAAACTCATGCACCTATTGGATAGCAACTCTTTAGACAAGAAAAAAATATATGTATTCAATCTCAAATTTATTGAGAATAAGAAATATTATTTGTTGTTTAATAAGAAGATTCACCAACTTTCGCAAAAATTACTATATTTTTTTTTTGTAAGAAATATTGCAAACATGAAATTTGTATGGAAAGAAAATAAATTATAGGTAATTCAATTGCTTATAATTTATTTGTATAAAAATTATCAATTAATTGTATTTGATTAATTTTATTTTCAACCTAGAAAAATTGTACTGGTCAATTTTTCATTGGTGAGTTGATGAGAGAGAAACAGAGAGTGGATTCCCTGAATAATAAAATTATACTCTCCCTAAAAAAATATTTTCTTTGATTTTGAAAAAAATATGATCACTTGACCAAAAGTATGAAAATGTTTTCCATGAAAAAAGTCAATCAAACAGCACCAAAGTAGAAATTTGAATAAAAAATTCATTTTTCATGAAAAATATTGGCAATCAAATGCACCCTACATAATCACGTTATTATTTTCTGATGATACATATTTTCAAAATTTTAAAATGATATATAGGTATGAACAAATTTCACATCCCCATAGACATATGAGAACAAGAGTCGGGGACTAAAATAACATTATTTATTGTGGTTGGGAGGATCTACTTGCATTAAACATTCTATTCTACTGTATATAAGTGTCAAGAAAAAAAATTAAATAACGTTTTAAATTCAATGAAAATATAATTCATTTTATTGTTGTGGACACGAATAATTCATCAACTCTAATGATATATTTTGTTTTGGGAATTATACCTTTCACGCTTAAATTTAGTGGAATAGAATTTAATTTATTTTTTATTTCTCGGGTTTTGGGTGTACTCAAAATATCCAAATTATGATTTGAGTTTTATGATATAAATTTAATCTTATTTTTTAAAAATGTATTTTCAAAAATATCAAATCATACAAGTTTTGGTATTAACAAAATTGTAAACTTAGAACAACAAATCAAATATTTCCTTAGCTATTAGTATACTATTGGTCCTATATGTTTTGTAATTGTTAAGCAAATGGTCCTAAACCTTCTGAAAATCAATAAAGCCACAAGTATAGGAAATTTTTTTTACAGAACTTGCATCGATACTGATGTGGCAAAACATGATTGGAATTTTTTTTCTTTTCTCTCATCTTTCAATGATATCGTGCCGT